AAAAAAATAAGAACCAAGAGACTCATGTAATGGTACAAGATCCCAATGATGAATATAACTGTATTGTATACCTAAAATGTACCAATAAAGTTAATGGGGAAAATAAATCTTACATCGTCCTAATTAATGACTTCAATTAACACAAAAATAGTCTCTATAGAAACCTTTCTCTTATCCAATATGATGTTCGTTAATGAAGAAGGAAAAGTGGAAACCAGCATGCCTCGCTTGTATTCTCAACTGTAGCTTCGTAATGGAAGAGGAAGGTTTACAAGTTACAGCGTTGCCTTCATGCTTATGTTCCTAATGGCTTTACGACTCAGGTAAGCCACCCAAAACTCCTCACAGCTTTCATTTTTAGCACATCCTCGGTGGATTTCATTAGATGGCTCGGCTGCTCTTTCACCTTCCTGCTTTCCTGATCCTGCCGCCTGCGACCACCAGAAGCGGCAGGAACCTGTAGACTGGGCCCTCGGTACCTCGCGCGGATGCCCTGGAAGGAAGTCCTCCTCCTCTGGCCCCGCCCACCGAGGCGGACGCGCCCGGGCTGCAGAGTGCTGAGCCCGGCCTTGGGGTCCGCTTCTCCCCAACAGCTGCTCCCTGCCCTCTCTGAGGTCTCGCCGACTGCAGCCCTTTTGTGTCAGAACGAATTTTCTGCACAGTCATTCCGCTCGCTGACCAGCAACATGTTATCCCTGCGGCCTGCCTGGTAAATTTGTTCTTGCTTTTTAAAAAACGTATTAGCTTACAAATGTCTTAAATCCATATGCATTTTTCTCTCTTTCTTTCTCTTTCTCTTTCTTTCTCTGTCTTCCTACATTTTTTCATCACATAGTTATCATCTACAGCCAACGTCATTTGCCGTTATGTATTAATGAATGCCATTCATCTCCCTTTTCAAAGTGCATCATTGATCATTTTTTCCAAGAATCTTTTCATTTATTTTCATCCTCTCAAGAATCACTCCTTACTGATGAAATTGGAAAATCACTTCCCCTAGGAAAGGCGGGTGTTATGTACATTCTCTGTTTTATGGATATTCAGAAATTTCCTCTAATATATCTCTGCTTGAAAAGGAGAGACTGATGGAGTTTTTTCTGGGAGCTGTAAGGCAAAATTTATTCTTTCTCATGATTAAAGGGAGCTATGAATATTGTCATCATGGGGCTTTGTTTCTTCTCATTGGGAAAGGTTACAAAGGCATTATTTGTATTCAAAGAACACTGAGGTTTCCATTCTGATGTTCAGACATCTGTCACTTTGTTCATCTACTTTTTTATTTCCTCCTTGACCAAAAGCTACAGACCCTGGGTGGAGTCCATGATTCCTTCCACCTTGTTTTTGTAAATGTCTGCGTAACGTTTCCTTCTGATGGATCATAATACAACCATGGATTATTTTCTCACTCTGATGTATAATTACTAAAATTGTTTTTATTTTTCAGTGGTATAAAAATCTAACTCAAAATACAGATATACTTCCTCAGGCAATGTAAATTTTCTGTTTGATCTAGGAAAGAAATTGCAGCTAATATTTTTTTTCAACCATGTAACATAATTTTACTACAAGGTTTTTTTGTGTGATTTTAGATTTTTGTTTTTTGACTTATTCAGTAATGTACCCACCTTCCTATTACTCGGCTCAGCTGTTGCTGTCCATTGTCTCAGGCTGAACTTTGCAGATGGTGTGGACATTTGTGTGTGAGAATGTGTTGATGGCCCTGGCCAGTGAAGATGGAATATCTCCCAGCTTGGGTTGAATGGGGAATTTCTCTCATGAAAACACGAAGAGCTACAAAAGCTTGACAATGGAGAAACAATTCAGGGCTCCAAATAGACTAGGATTTGTGCGGGCCTGTCTTGTCCATGGCACTTCTGCTAGCATGACTGCTGAGAGAAGGAAGGTTCTTACGGGGTGCATTTCTAAGACTCAGTCGTGTATTTCTCATATGCAAATAATGAAATACTCAAAGTCATGGTTCAAGAAGTATTGTGGGAGATATATGTTCAAGATTTATGAATGGTGACCCATCAGCACACCAAAAGCACTGACAATTCTTGCCTACTTTTAACTTCAAATTAAGAGATAGATTTTTACACAGCCCTACAGTAAGCTTTCCTACAATAAGGAAGCCCTCAGGGTCTTCCAAAATGTATCCAGAGAATTTCAGGACCATATATTGGCTAAAAATTATCTTTTATCTTCATCCAATTAGATATTAAGTCGTGGCATAGATAACCTTAATTTTACTGCATATAAGAACACTCTCATACTCTATACAAAGTATATAGGATATAGTATTTATATAATGGAGAAAGGCAAAAGCAGCTTCAAATTATATGAAGAATGGAGGTTTTCTGGAGAAACAAGTAAAGGAGATAAACCTTATTTCTTCTTCATGTAGCAGTAACTATTTTGCTCTTGTTTAATTAAATATTTAATGGTAATTTTTTAAATACAGAGCTTTTCAAGCTATAAATAGACACCACCTTAAAATTTTCAGCAAGAAAGATATCAAAAGATATCAAGTCAAAAATTGAGAAATTAGACAGAGATGCATACTAATATTTGCTCTTATAATAAGAAACTTCTACTTGAATTATTTCAGATTTAGTAAGCTTATCAACCAAATGTTACCCCCCAAAATCATAGGAACACAAGTTTGATTCCAGCTTGTGTGGTTCAAACTCCTAACACACATCCTGTCCCCCATCCCTAATGGGAAGCCCTTCACCCAGAAGTTGGATGTGAAGTGAAGGATTACGTGTTTTTTGTAGTAAGGAACAAGATGAAAGCACTGAAAAAAGTTTTCAATCATACGACTTTTCTGTGTATTTTAGTTTTTACTGCTTGGCTGTTCCCATAGTTCTGGGACCCATGTCTTAGTGGAAAAATAATGGCACATGGTGTCTTTTATGCAAGTGGCTGGCATGAATCCTCTTTTACTCTTGACACTAGGCTTGGAGAATGGCTTGATGAGTTTAGGCTGCCTTGTTCTCCATAATTTAGGTTCCAGCTTCTCAACATATTGTGTTCCTAGGAAGATAACCTAAGATTTTGATGGTGGATTATAAGTTAAATATTTTCCAAAAAAGTATTTGCCAACTCAATAACTGTACGAAATTACCCTATATTAGCATGCCTTTAGTTAATCATGCCAAAGTCAGTAGCTCCTCCTTTTGCTGGGAGGTCATCTTTGTGAACCATTAAACAATAACCCAGTTTGGGATCCAGTTTTCTGTGCTGTATTTTATGCTCTGGATAGTATTAAGTTATCGGTATGCATTCCAAAGTCCTGTTCAATATCTGTTGTTTGTTTTCACTGTCTTTAGAGTATTATTCATTTGCTTCAGCTATGTTGAATTTAATTTGCTCTATGTTTCAGTTTCCTGAAGTAGACTTTTACATGACTGATTTTTAGATTTATTCTTTTCTGCTATATACATACAATGCTATAAATTTCACTGTAAGCTCCCTTATAACATTCCACAAATTTTGATAAGCTGTAACTTTTCACTTTTTAAAAATATATCCTCAGTTTTCTTCTAGTCATGTGTTACTGAGGTGCATGTTATTTAATCTTCCAAATGTTGTAGTTACCTTTTTTTTTTGCTTGATTGTTTAATTTCACTGTAGTGTGAGAGCATATATTGTATAATTTCAATCTTTTACATTTGTTATGTTAACTTTTATGGACCAGAATGTGGTCATCGTGGTGACTGGTCCACATGGGTTTGATAACAATGTGAATTCTGCCAGGTTTGGTGACAACAGTTTATAATCTCAGCCATAGGAAGCCGAGGCAGGATTTTGAGCTCAAGATCTGCTTGGGCAAAATACGAACTTCAAGAACTACCTTGCTTGGAAGGCCCTAATAAAAATAGAATGTGTTTTCTACTCATTGTTGAACAAAGTAGTATGTAGGTGTGAATTTCGTTCACTTGATTGGTGGTGTGCTCTTGAGTTCAATTGTGTCTTTTTTTATTACTGAACATTATAAAGGGGTTCGTTTTGGTCTTTTATACATGTGTATAACATACTTTGGTTATTTTCTATTTACGGTTAGGAGTGTTGAAGTCTTCAACTATATTTGTGGATTCATCTGTTTTCTCTTCAATTTTTTTTCTTTTTTTTTCCGGTACCAGAGATCAAACTCAGGACCTTGTGCTTGAGAGGCAGGTGCAGTGCCACTGAGCTGAATCCCCAGCCCTCTCCTCAATTTTAATCTGTAACTGATCCACAAAAAGCATTAAAGTTAGAGTACCATTTAATATTCAATACATGTGTACATTGAATAATATTTAAATTAGCTTACACATATATATTTATCATTTTCTGGGGTGACAACTTCCAAAATCCTGTCTTCTACCTTTGTAAATGCCCGGTTCGTTGACTTACAGTCGTACTGTGCGGTAGCTTCCCAGAGCTGTTGCTCCTAGGTTAGTAGCCATTGATCAGCCTTTCTTTTCCCTCGCTAACACCCCCCTATCCTTGGCCTCTGGCAAGCACCATTCTGCTCTCACCTTCTCTGAGCTCATACTTTTAGATTCCACATGTGAATGAAGTCAAGCAGTCCTTGTTTTTCTGTACCTGTCTTATTTCACTTAACATAATGACCTCGTTTCATCAGTGTTTTTGCCAGTGGCATGATTTCACTCATTTGTTTTGCTGAATACTATTCCATTGGTATAGGCACTGCATTTTCTTTATCCATTCTTCAGTTGATAGACACTTAGGCTGATTCTCTATCTTGGCTACCATATACAGTGCTGCAATAAGCATGGAAGTCCAGATGTTCTTTGACATGTTGATTTCATTTCCTGTGGGTGTAAACCCAGTGGTGAGATTACTGAATCATATGGTAGTGCTATTTTTAATCTTTGTAGGAAGCTCAGTATTGTTTTCCATACTGACTGTACTAATTTACATTCTTGCCGACGGCATGCAGGTGTCCCCTTTTCCCGGCATCCTCATTAACACACGTTACTTTTTGTCTCTTTAGTACTAGGCATTCAGATTGGTGTGAGGTGATATTTCAGTGTGGTTCAATTTGCATTTCCCTGTACTTGTCTTTATATTGAAATTAGTGTTTTGTAGACAACATTAAGTAGGATATGGCTTCACTCTGACAATGTGATTATTAAATGGTGTATTTAGGCCACTGACGTTCAAAGTGATTATTAGTAGTTGGGTTCCTAATTACCAAATTTTCTACCCTTTTTAGTTGTTCTTCTTTTTTTTTTTCTTTTGTGCTGCTGGTTGAACCCAGAGCCCTGTGCATGTGAAGAATGTGCTCTATCACTGAGCTACACCCTAGGATTGTCCTTATTTTTGTCTTATATTTGTCTTCTCCCTTTTGTGGCTTTCATTGAGCATGTTATATTCTCTGCTAGGATGTCAGTTACCTTTCTTTTTATTTTACTTTTTATTTTTGGCTTTCTTCATAGGTGTCTTATGGAATAAAAACTTTTATTTTTAAATTTTCAATTATGCTAACAAATAATGGTTTATTGAAAGCAATATACTAGTAATGTATTTTATGGCATATTCTTATGTATATGTCCTGGCGGTGTGTGTCTGGGACTGTGTGTGTGTGTCTGTCTGTCTGTCTGTGTGCTTTTAAATACGTGATATGAGTGACGATAACAGTACAGTTGGCCAAAAGAAAAAATAGGATTATTTTCTTGTTATAAGGTGCTCACATTACTG